TGCTACTAGTAGCGATGCCAGGAGCCCCTAGTAGCGTCCTTGCTCCTGGTAGTAAGGCCAGGAGCCCCAGTAGCGTCCTTGCTCCTTGTAGTAAGGCCAGGAGCCCCTAGTAGCGTCCTTGCTCCTTGTGGTAAGGCCAGGAGTCCCTAGTAGCTTCTTGTTCCTAGTAGTATGAATGCTACTAGTAATGCCCTTTGTTACTATAGTAGCGATGCCCTTGTTCCTAGTAGCGTCCGATCGCTCCGTTCGTAGGGCCAGGAGCCCCTTTCGAAGCGAACCTTGTTGCGTCCGTAGCGAGGCTAGGAGCCCTGTTCGTGGCGTCCGATCGCTCCGTTCGTAGAAGTCCAAAGACGATACTTTGACCAAGGAACTTCCCTATCCCAGGGCCTAGGGTATCACCTAAAGACCAATCTTTTTATAGTCGACTGGACTCCCCGGGTATCTCTTGATTAATAACCCCTCCATTGATATTTTTTGTAGGCTCTGTGTGGTGTGGCAGTCCGAAGATGCACCTCTTGGGCCTTCATTTTTAACCCCCCCGCCCCATATGAAGTGGTGTTTCAATCCAAGTCAAGAGTACATCGTTTGACAGATGTAGACATAGACTCCAACCTGCCGGGCGAGACCGTGGTCAAACAACCGAAGAGTGCCAGTCGCTGCAGGCAGGATTGCTTAGGGCCTAGAAACTAGGTTCCAGGGCTGTCAACATAGACAAGAATGCGTTCTTCCTGGAGGGCACTCCACCGTTGGACGGTAGAATCTGGACAACGTCCAAAACCCGTGCTTCAAAATTTTTCGGTAGCAACACAATTGTTGCGGGCTTTCAATCAAAACAATTGCGTAAAAGTAGTCACCCTTTGTGCAAAGAATGCATGGGCAGCCCACGCATGGGTTGCGATTTCCCCCAATTGTTCGAACAGGCTAGCCACAGCTGGCCTGTGACTTCCTGGCATTCCCACCTGAGGTGCCCAATGTGGGGTTCTTATTTTGGGAGAGGATCCACATGGCATCTACGAACCCCACAAGCAACATGGTTGGCGATCGGCCACCAAAAAGCTAGCACATCGCCATGCCAAAAGCCCAGCACACAAGGCCTCTCTTAAGTCTGGTGAGTATGGCTTCAATCAGAAACCGGAGCTCGGGCTCTAAAACCCGTAATTTGGGCATCACGTCGAGAAGCAACGAGAATTCTCCAGCCATGTGTGGCAACCATTTGCTTTGAGGAGGCCCTTTTGATCAGCTTGCAAAGCCGCAAAACCTGCCGTCGAATTGATCAGATGGCGCCGCCGCTTTTTTTTGACTTTGACATTGGAAACAGAGCGGCTTCCACGGACAAGCATGCGCACGAGCTGCTGAATCAATTGCTTCTTTGTCCCTGCAGGCGACTGCTGGCAAAGAACGGCCCAGCAGGTCAAGCCAATGTTTTGGCACTCATGTGCAGCATTCAGACTTCGAAGCTCACCAGCTTGAGCCAGTGTGACTTCAACAAGCTTGACAACTGGCCTGCTTCCCGATTCAACTGGCTTTGCAAGTGCCAACTTCAGCAGGCCGAGCAGGGTCTCTCCACAAGTGAACTGGTGAACCACTACTCTGTTCTTGGCATCCAATTAGCCCAAGTGGGCAGCAGAAGCTCAGAAGCTCCATTGCCTTCTTTTGACGGAACCACACAGGCTTATTGGGTTGCTGAACGGATCCTTCCCTCCTCTGCCGGAAAAATGGCAGCTTTGTCCGAAAGATGGGCGTGAAGGGCCGCGTGCGTCGACCGCTAGGCTTCTTCCGCTGTCCGGGGACAAGGACAAAAGGTTGGCTATTGGTTTGGCCAGGTTTGGCCAGCAGCTGTTCTTCTTCGCCTAAAACATCCAGCTACCTCTGTTTCGAAGATGGTTGGGGTGGGGGCCCCGGGGGGGTACACAAATCCACCCGAACCTGACAAGGCACGACTGGAGCCCTAGGGCAGGTCTGACAGGTCTGCCAACGCACCACGACGCACCACGACGCACCACGACGCACCACGGCGCCGGTCGTCGGTCGTCCCCCGGAACGGACGAAGCCCAGTGACATCAAGCTGGGCGAGACCCAATGCCCTCGAGCACCCAAGGAATGCAGATCACCCTCCAAGAGTTGTGTCCTCAGCGAAGCAAGGAGCAACTAGCAAAATGCCAACTGCGCCACAAGTCCTCAAGCGAAATTATTCACCAAAAGGGATGTTCTTCACCTCGAAAAACTACAGTAGGTTTTGGGCAGTTTTCTCTGGCCGACTTGCGGCGTTCGCAAAACAAACGGCGGTTTTCCCGGCATGTTTTTTCTCCGGCGGAGCGGAAAGGAACATGGTCGGCCATCTCATCTGACCCGGTCGCCTTCGACCATTAAACAGACATCGTGGATCTGGTGTTGTTGTCAAATCCTTAAAACACGGCTTGTCCGGGATTCAGGCCATGCAAGCAATTTATGGTGGGCCATGATATCCCAGGCCAAAAGTGGAGTCGCCATGAGTTGCCTCCCCAGACCGTTTTGCTGCCACAGCCGACAAAGAAATCATCTCAATACACATGGGCCTCCCAAATCCTTGTAAAGAGATGAGTATATATAATATGTGTGAGTTGTATACATGTTGAGTATATCCTCCAATCCTTGTGTGGGTAACGGAATTGGAGGCTTAGATCGTGTGTACCAGTTTTCTTGGCTCGTAAAGGCTTCTGTGACCCACCAAAGCACCATCCTTGAAGAAGACATTTCTGGCTTCATGCCATCCGATGTCACGAAGCACCGTTTGACCCTGGAAAGTGCATAGTTTGGGCATCATTCCTTAGAATTACACTTGGGTCACCTGAATGTGCTGTCCTCAGGTATCTCCGGGTACCTCTCAACTTCTTCAAAGCTGGGACCCTACGAGAGGACGCTTGAGCGCCGCAACACAGCAGCAAAAGTCGCCTACATGAAAATTCAGGGCAGGCCAAACACAAATAAAACAGGGTGAACATAAAAAACAACAAGATCTAGATCTCCACTGAACTCCTACAGTGCTCCACTCCCAACCCACCTCTCCCCAACCAACCCACCGAGGCGCCGCTCGGGCGCTCGGGTGCTGGGCTGCTCCGCATGGCCGATCCACAGCTCGCCGTCGCCCAGCTCGTCGGCGTAGGCGGCCAGGGCCTCCCAGCCGAGCTCCACCGAGCACTTCCTTCGCGCGCGTCCGGCGCTCGTCCGGCGTGGGGTTTTTCGGATTGGTGGAGAAAGCGGAAACAGCGTGGGAAGCGAAGGGTCCAACGGTCTCCGCCGTGGGTTTAACAAGACATTTTTGGGTCCGACTTTGGGGTGGACACCATGTCACCAATCAATCTTCAAAGGTTTGGGTTTTCCATGGCGTGGAGATGGGAGATCACCGGGAAGTGAGCAGAAAGGGGGGAGATCGGGAGAGAGAGAGAGAGAGAGAGCAAGAATGAGAGGTGCACATGGAGGAGTTGGTATCGTGAGGTGGGAAGACAGCCAAGCCATGTTTTCACTCATTGTCGTGAGCTATAGAGATGAAACGAAGGCTCTTGTCAATTGTGAACACTACATTCATCTGGGGAGTCAAGGGCTTTGCCATGTCAGTGACCGGGATGACCAACTGAACTACATCCTCCCAATTTCGTGTGGTGAGCGTGGTGAGCACAGTCGTATACCCGTGCAGTTATACCAGGACCATCCTGTCCGGGTGTCCAAAAAGATTCCTAAGTAGTCAGGGTAGTCCAGCCACAACACCCAGACAGGATGGTCCTTGGCGGTGGTTCACCATCCCAACTTTGTCGCCAAGAATCTTGAGATCATCCAGGTGCAAAATCCTCAGATCCAGTGACGCACGCTTTGCGCATGTCCCACCCAACTTCGAAGCCCAGAAGCTTTGGACAAAGCCCAAAGCTTCACGCGATTTGCATGTCAGCCCTGCATTCTCATGCAGCTCTGTGATGCTCTGTGGCTCAAGCAACAAGCAGCGCAGCAGTTTTCCGAACTCTGAAGCAGCTTCTATAATGGCTGTGTTTCTTGGTATGTCCCCCTTCCCTAAAAAGATACTGATCCAAAGAATGAAGGCAAACTCGGAGGAGGAGTACATGATCCATTTGCGGTTCGCATCTGGAACGGCGATATCAGCAACGTTTGATGGGGTCACACGGTCACGTTCTACTCACAAAATACCTCAGGACTCTCAAAGAAGACCTGGACTGGAGCCGGTGTCGCCAGTCCCTTTTTCCGTCTCCGCGACGCGTCTCGATGACGTTGGATGGTTGGACGTCCTTGATGGGCCGCGCGGACCCAGGGACCATGGGGTTCCCCCTTTTGCTGCGGAGTGTCAAGCCCATGGCCAACTTGCCTTCCTTTTCGGCAAACGCCAGGGGCACCTGGCCATCGCGGGCCCGTGACCGGTCGGCTTTGAGTGGAATTGAGTGACCGGTCCCGAAGACTTGAAGGGCTTCCCAAATGGTGAAAGAATACGTCTTTGGGAACTGCTTCGGGATTTGAAGACTGTGGTGTCTTGACCCTCTTGACTTCGGGATTTGATTCTTCGAACATGTCTGAAGAAAGTATCCCCAACACACCTTGCCCCCCCGGGCCAAACAGATCACCCGCCCCTTTTCCATCTTCTCCCACTGAGACCCAGATCGTCACACCCTTGGACCGTCACACCCTCGGTCACACCCCCCGGTCAACAGCAGGTCCAGGACGACCAGCCGGTGGGTGCCTCAAAGGTGAGTCCATACCAATCCTCCGCCAGAGGCGCCAGAGGCTCCTGGAGGCGCGGGAACGGGGCGGGTGGAGCCGCCACATGGGAGCCATGGGCACGTCCAACGAGGCGTGGGAGAAATGGGGCCTTGGGAAGTCCTTTTGAAATACGTATTGAAGAAGCGGAACCTCATGCTCCTGCTCGGAACATCGCAATATCAGCTGTACCTTCACTTTTCCTGTCTGTGTCCAGGTGGTGTCAAAACCCACCATCCTCAACCCCCTCCAATATGTCCAATGCACTCGCTCTGGGGCATCTCCCTCAGCCTCAGCTGCCCTCGCTGTCCCAGATGGTCCCGGCCGTCTCCTCCCATTTCGTCTCCACCGCGGCCGCGGGGCCCCAAACGTGGAGGCCCAGCCCTTCCAAGCGCTGCCGCTTCGGCAGCCTGCCGCTTTCGCTCGGCTCGGCTCGGTTTCGGCGGATTCGGCTCGGCGTGCACTTCCGAAGCCTCGGCAACCCAGCCGCCTCCCACACGGTGGATTTCGGGGACAGGCCAGTACAAAACCTGTCAACACGTCTGGGGTCCCTCTTTATTGCGACTGTGCAAAACCCAATCATGTTGATGATTTCGAAATCCTTTGGCCCCACAAGGATGTGGGAGTTCAACGACCTGACAGGAGATACCAATGAGGAATCCTGCTGAGCTTCAGGACTCGGTATAACGACTCACGACTCATGACTCATGCTTCCTGGGGAACAGTCAAGACTCCCGCAAACAATGGCTGATACATAGTTCTCAGCAACTAGCAAAGTGTTTTTTCCCCTGTGTCACCACAGTGACCTTTTTTTTGGTGTGGTCATGCCCAATTTCTCCATCCGGAGCGAGCTGTGGGGAGGAAATACCGTCCGACCTGCATGCAGACGGTTCGTCTGAATCAAATACAAACTTCTTGTTACTAGCTACTTGCTCCTAGTAGTACGGTCAGGAGCCCCGTTCGTAGCGTCCTTGCTTGAAAGGAGCCCCTAGCAGCTTCTTGTTACTCCGCGCCTGATGTGCACTAACAAGCTCTCAGCCATTTCGGATAATGTGGCGCAGGACGTTTCCTGCACTGGAAAAGATAGTTAAAGGACAGCAAGTCAGTCGTTCTGCAGGTTACTCTGAGGCTCAGCACTTTGCACCTAGCTGACTGTTCGAAGTGCTTTCAAAGAACTATTTTTTCAACGCGAGCGTGACATCCAGTCCAGCAAGGGGTTGAGTTTCTCAAAGAAACGTGTCTCAGAATGAGAAAACTTCAGACACTTTCAGGGCCACTGTTGGATCACGGTGTTCACCAAAGGTTTGGTAGCACAAATGCTTGAGCCACAGCCGGTCACGCGACGAGACTGTCAGTGAAATTCTCCGTCATAAAACCTCCTGTGAGGAACAATCTATGTGATTTGAGCATTCTCCGCGCGGAAACCCCGACATCCTCTACGTTTTCTTTTCGACTTCATGAGTCAATGAAGTCAAAAGGTGTTGACATCAGAACTCAGCAAAAGTGTGAAGCAGCATCATCAAGTGTGCTTTCCATGGGCAATGGCCAAAGAAAACATAGACATTGAATCCAGCTCTGCTGGACTATGGATGACAGCAAGTGGATTAAGCAAAGTACTTGTTTCACATCAACTGGTTGGAACCCAGGAACCAACATCTCAGCATTCTGCATAGGTTCTCCATAGTTGCATCAAAAAGTAGTATCGATACGTAATACAAAAAATGACAAGATGATACAACATGGCTGAATATAACAAACCCTTCAGCTGTTTCAGCCCGGCGGCAAAGAGGAGTCGTCCACGTTTTAGGCCTTGGGTATATCCCATGTGCGCCCTGTGGATGATGACGCTTTAGGTTGCAGATGGTTGCTCTCATAGTGATATCATTCTACCGAAAACTATCCCCCTGATGCAGTGATAGAATGATGCAGGCCTTCTTCCAAAAACACAGTGATATCATTTTACTCGACTGTCACTGGTTTATTGGGACACAACCGCGTGCCTTGGATGCGAAGGTCTGAACATATGGGATACTGCCAAAGGGGGGGCGTCCAAATTTTACGAGCAATTTGTTAATTTAGTTCGGACGTGCCTGGTCAGTTTGAGTATAGGGAGATATAGCCGATATAGCAATTTCCAAACAAATTCGCTGCTTCTGAACCCCTTGCGATTCGACCGGATGAGCCCTCTGTCATTCTTTTTCGATCGTTGCATTGACGGTAATGCAGAGCCTGAGCGGCGGCGGGTCGGAGATGTTCCAAGTTCCCAGCGTCCGCACGTGTCAGAAATCTATCCATGGCATCGACATAGCGTGCAGGATCGTGCGCAGTTGGTTTATTGATTCATTGACCTTAGGTACATCCAAAGCCAAAAAAGGAATATGCCCTTGCGCCTAAAAGCGCCTCCAACATAGAATGGGGCTGGAACTGATCTGTGTCCGAAAAGAGGAACCCGCAGCTTCAAGCAAAGGAGCAAGGTCTGATCGCTGATGTCAAAACACCAGCAGTATGATGAAAACTGCAAGAGACGTGAGAGACAAATGATCTTGAGATGGTCACACCGTGAGCGTGGTCTTTGGATCCGCCAAAAAAAGAAATTCAGTGGGTCCACTTCGAGATATCCGCCGACCCCTGGGTGGAACCTGCTGCGTACAGCCTGCTTCTTCGCCAAGAGGCCGTCCAGCTACCTGGGGCTTGTCCTGGACTCCTTTTTCTATGGGGTTCGGAAGGCAGCATTTGAGACTCTGAGACTGGGAAACCTCCACGGCTAAATTGTTTGGCATGGTCCACGCAGCCTTCGCCAACGGGCCCTATAGCCACGCCAACAGGCCGCACAGCCTGCTTCTTGCAGCTACCTGACTGCAAGAACAAGAAGAACAACAACA